CTCTGCCTCTGACAGCCTGCCCCTCTGCCTCTGACAGCCTGCCTCTCTGCCTCTGACAGCCTGCCTCTCTGCCTCTGACAGCCTGCCCCTCTGCCTCTAACAGCCTGCCTCTCTGCCTCTGACAGCCTGCCCCTCTGCCTCTGACAGCCTGCCCCTCTGTCCCTGACAGCCTGCCCCTCTGCCTCTGACAGCCTGCCTCTATCTCTCCCCTTATGGGTATCCCTGATGCTCTTGGAGAGGAGATGGGATGAGCTTGGGGGACCCAGCACACACCAGAAACTCTGAACTGCCGAGATGGTTGCGTACACTGGACCTTCCTAAGCAGCAACCTGAACCCCCCCCCCCCCCCCATGTGAGCAGAGATCCGGAACAGCTTCACTCGGACTTCAGCCCTCAATAGCTGCATGCATGTCGTGGACCATCCAGAAACTTCCAGGGAATCTTGCATATACCACATTGAGCATCTTGTTTTCCTCATGATTCGGAATAAATTTTCTACTTCTGGAAGGAAGGAGGCTTTACCTGACATGGCCACACGATATCACTTATCGCCCATATCATCTGGGAAGAGCATTATCAACTTGGCAATAAATCAGGTCCAGAAAATAATGAGACTCAAATTAGTCAGAGGCAGGAGATACAAAAATAACAATAACTGGCCAATGAATTGCATGCAGATGACAGCAATGTTAAAATTCTGCCCTCTTGTGATAATCGGACAGATGAACTCATCAAGCCAAGGAGATGCTTTGGGATTTTCAGAAACGGGGCAAACGAAGCGGAGCGCAGACGGAGAGTTAGGCATCTTTATCCTCTTCTACCCACGGAGGCACACATGCTCTCTGCGGCTGCCTCACCATGACTCCGACTTTAATACTTTCTATTCTTAACCCAAGAAACACAAGTAGTAGCACACTGCATTAATAATTTAGAAATTGCGTTTCTATCAGGAATTTCCTTTTTGAGGAGAAACCCCCCCACCCCTGCACGGAGCACACATACCTCCAGGTAGGGCACGGGGGCGATGGCCGGCAGGGGGTACTCCTTCAGCAGTCGCTCCTCGTCCAGGAACTTGCCGGCCTTGCCGTTGTAGGCCGGTTGAAACAGGCCGTAGTTCAGCACGTCCTTCAGGCTCTGATTCAGAGTACACAGGATGCGCTGCTTGGAGGACCAGATGGGGACATCCATGTTGAACTTCATGCATTTCTGTGGGAGGTGAGAGACTGGCATCATCCAGACAGAAGTCGCACCCAGGGCTGAAGGAGAGGTGCCGCTGGTATTGCCCACGCCCACCAGGCGGCAGGGACCAAGGATGCATCGATGACAGCCAATTAAAAAAAATACAGGATACCATAATCACTGATGAAATGAAGAGAATGAGTGTCTCTGGGACGCTGATGGGATCCCCGACCTCTTAAAGGCATGCAGGCTGGGTCTCGTTAGCAAAGCATCAAACATGCAGCAGATCAGGTGCCAGTCCACCTTTTCTGTGAGACTCCAGCTCATAATCAGCAAGCGCACAAGGCCTGAACGCCTCACTGCGGCCATGTGACGAAGGCCAGGAAACACATGGGCATGGTTTTATCACTGCAATCCTCTTCCCAGGAGTTTTGCCCTCTCTGATTCGCTGCAGCCTTGCCTTTGATTGGCTGCAGCTTCACTCTCTGTGACTGGCCGCAGCCTTGCCCTCTGTAATTGGTCACACCCTTCGCCTCGGTAATTGGCCACAGCTTCGGCCTCTGTGATTGGCCGCATCCTCACCATCTATAACTGGACACACCCTCACCCTCTGTAATTGGCCACACCCTCGCCCTCTGTAACTGGCCACACCCTCGCCCTCTGTAACTTGCCACACCTTCGCCTTCTGTAACTGGACACACCCTCGCCCTCTGTAACTGGCCACACCCTGATCCTCTGTAATTGGCCACACCCTCGCCCTCTATGACTGGCTGCAGTAGTGCCCCCATCCAGCAGAGTTTCAGAGCTACACAAAGGTAGGCACCAGGAGACTCGATACAGCAGTGCCCCCAAAGCCAGCGCCTTCATAAAGGAGCTCGATTTCCGCCACATTACAGCACATTCTCAGACGTAGCAGTAATGGACCACGAGGCCCAGGAAAAGCATTCGGCAGTCTGCTGAGAGGCTTGTTTACTCCAGCCACAGAGAAGCCATCAGGTGTTAAGGCCATTTGGGATTACAGGTGGCAGATTTCTACTCACAGAAAGCTTTAAAGGGCGAGGAAGGAAAGACTCCAAGTGACCCCCCCCCTGCCCCGACCCAGCCTGTGGCTCTCCCCCAGGGCACGGCTCCCTGGATAGTCACTGACAGTGGGAGGCCTCTTGGTTCCTTCCAGCACAGAGAGGACCGGGTCTCCACTGCAGGCAGAAATGCGGGGGGAGGCCATTTCTGCAGCCAGATCGAACAGCTACAGCTCGTCAGTAAGACTGGTCCACTGGGACTCCCCCTCGTTAGCATGCAAATGAAGAGTAAGTCAGGGCCGGCACAGCTGTGTGCGGCTACACCACCCAACCAGGCGGGGACTCGCTGATAAAAGAGGCTCACGCCAGCCTCATTTCCGAACAGGAGCAGTCCACACTTTGTCACGTTCCAGAATGTTCTCACACTTTACTTGCACAATTTTGCTAATAAGCTGATATGGCTGGATAAATTAAGGGAGCCGGATGATTTATACTCATTTGGAAAACCTCATTAGATACATTCCCACAACCAGCAGTGTGGTGGTGGCGAGGTTACTTGATTTTCCTAATG